TATATATATTTATATATATATTTTTATATATATACTTATATATATATATATATAGTCGCCTGCATGTAACAGGCACTCTACTGTGCATGGTTCACAAAATCCCACAGGTAAACCCCAAGGAGTAAAAGGGCTGCTGGGCAAGGGGCACTGTGATCGTTGGTTCCCTTAATTAGGGAGAGTGGGGGTCCCTTTATAGGTCTTGATATCTTCCTAGTACTTCTCATTTTCTGATCTTGAAATTTTACTTGTTCACTCGAAATGAAGCCTTAGTAAGTGAACCAGATTTTGTTTTAACCGCTGAAATGTAAATAAAGGAAAGGAGAAGTGTGTGTCTGTGGTAGGGGGGAACACTGAAAAATTTACAAAAACAAACTTCAAAGGGGTGTGCTGCCCTCCTCTTACCACCGATGAAACCCTTAGTTTAGAAAACGTGAAATTTGATGAATCTGTCTGTCACTCAACAAATTTAGGTGAAATGACCTGAGACAAACTGACCTGGACCCTTAAATGTCTCCCCTTCCCCTCCCCCCTCCCTCTCTGCCTCTGTGCCCCTTCGCTTCTTATTTTTCCCCTTAGCTGAGCCAGGTTTAGGCGCCCCTTGACTGAAACAACAGGGTAAATGGAGTGAAAGGAAAAGCCCCTGGTTGCTTACTGGGCTGGAGGAGGTGACTTCTCCCCGAGTACCTGGAACTTCTTGTCCATTCGGTTGTGCTTGGAGTACCGGCTGAAGCTGTGGAACAAAGGCAGAGTGCGCTAGGGACTGAGGACAGGCAGCAAGCAGATGGGCGCCTCAGGGGGGCCTGCCCTGGGTCACTGGAGGGATGGGCCTGCCCAGAGGGCAATCTGACTCCCTTCTGGGGCCAAGCACTTCCAGATACCTCCATACTCCTCAGTGGCTCTGAAGATGTTCTTGTTGGTAAAGAAGCCATAAACCGATAAAACCAAGCCGTTGCCACTGAGAGACGGCAGAGGGGCAGAAGCGCTCAGGCCCAGAAATGTACAGAGAAGCAGGCTGAGCAACATGTAGGGTTGCCAGGTTTAGCAAATAAAAATAGAATGCCTAGTTACGTGTGAATCTCAGAAAAGCAACAGATACTTTTTGAGTATAAGTATGTCCCTGGGTGTCACAAGTGCTCGACTACTAGCTGAAAGGTTGGCGGTTCGAAACCAGCCAGAGGCATCTTGGAAGAGTCTCGGCAATCTGCTTCTGAAAGGTCACAGCCTTGAAAACCATATGAAGCAGTTCTACTCTGCACACATGGCTCACCATGAGTCAGAAAAGACTCACTAGCAACTAACATCAACAACAACGTTCCCAGTGTTGCATGGGAGAAGGCCTGTGTTTTATCTGGCACCCCTAACATCTTCTAACCAAGCAGCAGTTTTTCTCACTGCCACTTTTGCAAAACCGCATATTAAACCATGCTAACCATGGTGTATAGAAGACCCAGAAAGTTAGTTCAGCCATGTGGCTCCTGTTACCTGCCTTGTGTAAAATCCTTGTGTGGGGATTGGCCAGCTGTAGGCCTGACGGGGTGTGAGACAGCTTAGAGAACAGAGCACACCAGAACACCAAGGCACAGGACTTCTGCAGTTTCCATCATGACACCCAAGGAAAACCACCTGTTCCATGGCTCAACTGTCCCTCTTTCTAACCATGAGGACATGTGTGAGTTTGGCAGGGATTCAGATCACCACGTGTCACCACCGAAAACTACTAAGCCCCCAGACATGTTCTTAAGATGGAAGGCCTGTGTGAAGGACCTCACTCAGGAACAAGCTCAGGACTAACTAATGTCGTGTCAGAGTCTCGGAGCTAGAGCACAGGCGTTGCATTCTGAGGACAAAGTCTGGTAAAGCAACGAGGTCCTCTCTGGCCTCCATTTATGGGGGACAGGGTGAGGGTCTGAGAAGGAAGATCCCAGGACAGCTTTGGCTGTGAGAAGGGGCCCAGCCCAGCCCAGTGTCCCTACCTCCCTACGGAGATGGCACTGGCAATGGACAAGGCCTTCTTTAGGGAGTTCTCCCCCCGGCGCCCAGGTCGCTTGAAGCCTGTGGGGATGAGTGCCCAGGACAAAAGCAGAAGACAGGAGGTGAGGATGGGCCACACAGCACTGCACTTCCCCACCACCAGCTTCCCAGAGACCAACAAGCCTATTCACCTTTACCTGTCTGGGACCGATCTTTTTCACACGAATGGCCTGAGCATTTTATGTCGGAAAGTCTGAAAGCAAATGAAAGGATGTGAGCTTTTCTGAAGTGACTACGAGGACAACACGGGCACTGGACACCATCTCATCTGGTCTTCGGCACCACAGGAGTTGGTCCTCATGAGGAAACTGAGGCTTCAGGAGGTCAAGCCCCTTGCCTTAGGACAAAGGCTGTCAGGGTGGGGCTCACATAGAAACCGAGGCATGTGGGACTCCATTGCCGCCCCGTGAAGGCTCAGGGCTATAGGCTGCAATGCAGGGCCCCACTATGTGCCCAGGGCCACTCACTGCAGGATCCTCTTAACCACCTCCACCACCGGGTCCTCAATCACGGACTTTCCCATGCGGCTCGGCTGGGCAAAGGACTCCGGGGTGACCAGGTCCACCTTGGCATCTTCTTCAAGGACATCTGATGACACCAAGATGTCACTCTCCACCTCTGGGTCAGTCATAATGTGGTCCTGCAGGCCAGAGAGGAGAGACAGAGTATGTGAGGACCAGTCCAGGAACTGGGGAGACAAGCAGGCCTGGGTCCACTTCCTAGATCCATCACTACTACCCACCCTCTTTGAGCTTCTTTTTCTCTTCTATGAAATGGCGATGATCATCTCTCCCTTAGAGAGTTGTTCATACATTCATTCATTCAAGTATGCATGCATGCATGAATCACTCCAAGTGTTTCCTCTCTGCAAAACTCTGTCCTGGCTCCTGGGGACACAGTGGTGAAGAGGCCACACCTGACCCTTGTCCTCATGGAGCTTATACTCTAGTGAGGGGAAGATACTTAACATGCACTAATCCAAATAAATCTTTGGTCAGAATTGGGATCAGTGCTATGAAGGTAAAGTTCCAGCAGCTTCTGTGAGATTGAAGGTCGCAGGTCTGTGAGGCCAGTACCATTGATGTGCCCAGGCAGTGTCTTTGACCGAATAGATGAGTGAATGAATGAATGCTTGGCCGAGTGAGTGGCCAGCTCCCCCATGAGCTGGGTCTCAGAGAAAGGGTTGAATTGGTGCCCACAATTAGTGTTTAGTTACACTGTTCCCTATTTTATTCCGTGTCTGGTCTCAGTGATGAAATGTAAGCACCTCGAGGGAAGAACCCAGGCTGGACCCGGTAATGGACGTGCAGTGGACCCTTAGTGTTGGTTGCATGGTAGGAAGTGCCTCCCCATAGCGGGGCTGGTTCAGAACTTGACTCTGAGAGACAAGGATTGGAGGTGGCTAGCACAGAACTTGAGGGGCATTCGCTTATGCATGTCACTGGTTCTCCGACCCTCCCCAGGAATCGACTGAGCACCTCCTGTGTGCAAAGCCTGGGTGAGATGCAGATGTGGAGTGAGGACAGTATCGGGTCTGCCCTCTTGGGGTTCACAGTCTTGAGGGAGATAGCCTGTTAAATGAAGATGGCCTGTGTCAGGTTAAGGGGTTTGAGCTTGACCCTGAGGGCAGAGGAGTGACACAGTCAGACTGGCCTTTTCTGGTTTTTGGCCTGACTGCATCTTGGGGAATGGACCATGGTGGGGAGGGTGGGTGGTGAGAGGACACAGGCAGCCCAGTGGGGCAGGGATGGGGGGCTTGGATGAGGCAGTGGTGGAGGAGGTGTGGGGGGAGTGGGTGGTTGCTCATGGGTGCAGGTGGTAAGGAAGAGACAGTGGGGCCAGCCTGAGAGTCAAGTGGGTGGGGTGAGTTGAGGCAGAGGCCCATGCAGGTAAGTGGCCTATCTAGGATTTAAATCCAGGTCTGATCCACAGTCTCTGACCTTTCCAAGACCTCACAGTAGATCTGATGTCCATCAGGGGCCTGGAAGTCCTCTCTTCCCCTCAGCTCTGCTGAACCCTGCAGATCTCCTCCAAACCCAGACTCAACAGCTCAAGTCCCCCTTCTCCTTTGCCCCTTCCCATTCCTTACAGTAAAGACCGCTTGAGTCACGGTCACAAGGTCTGGGCTGCAGTTGAGGTACTGAATCCTCTTGCTCACTTTTATGATCCAACTTCGGACAAAGCTGAGGACATCGTCTGTTGTCACTGTCTAGTGAGAACACAGAGAAGAAGCCACAAGCAAGCAGCCTGAAGGAGGACTGGGGAAGCCCCATGAACCTGGGCAAGTTTGGGCTTCAAGCCCTAGCTGGTTCCCTCCCGCACTGCAGGGGCTGAACTGGGAGGATGCCTCTTAGCTCTGTGGAGGCCCCCTCACTTGCTGGGGCCTGGGGGTTAAGGACGCTGGGCTGGCTCTCTCAGGCGCTGGATGGGGGCAACAGATCCAACACTGACGTGGGCATTGGGCATTCTGGTCCTGGTTCTACAAGTTTGTTTCTGGGCAATGATTTAAACTTGCTGGATTCAGCTTCCCCATCTGCAAGATGGATTCACAAAATGTTGCCTAGGGTCTCTTCCAGCTCTAACAGTCTATATTTATTCCTTTAGAAGGAAACATTTGGCCCAAGACTGGCAAGGGCATGTAGGAATGAAACCACCACAGTTTTTCTGGAAGGCAATGCGGCCATTTCCTTTTATAAGGTCTAATACATTCCCTACCCCTCCTTGGAGCAGTGACTCCACAGACCATGCCCCACAAGTGCACAGGGGGGTACCCCCGAGTATCTTCACCTTCACCAAGTATCCAACACATCACTAATGTCAAGTCTATGGTTCTAGCATGAGGCATCCTTGTTACTCACTGCTTCGCATCTACTGAGCACTTACATTTTTATCTGGTGAGTTTCGACAGGTTTCTATCTTGCTTTGAAGTTGCTCCAGAGAAGAATTTAATTCACCTGCTTGCAAATTGGATTTTGCCACCTAGAAAACCAGAGGTTCCAGACTTTGTTTCTAGAATACTTGTTTTGATCAGGAAAATGTTCAGCAAAACATGTTATTTGAGAAATGGATTAAGCACTGAAAAATGAAATCAGGGGAAAAACACAAAAAACAACCCATACAACCTACTGGAAACTAGATCAATGCCAAAAAGGAAAAAAAAATTTTTTAACTATTGTCAAATAATTTCTGAGAATGGAAACAAAGTTAAAAACAATACTAGAGGTTTATTTTTCAATTAATGGTTCCCAGATTGGGGAACACACAGCCTAAACAGTGTGTTCCAAAGAAATGTGGCAGCATTAGGGTTAATGTTGTCAGAAGGGAACAAGGAGTCCGAGAAGTCTGGTCAGTTTTAGCCTGTTTTTCAGAGGTTCATTAAAACATCCTTCAAAATGCTTTCTTCTCTGAAATGTTTCCTTAAAAAGACAAATGTTGCAGTTTTTCTGGGTCTGGGGTCTATGCCTGCTGAGCCGAGGCAGATAACCAGGCATCTGCCCATCTGGAATGCAGGAGTTGAAGAGCAGGAACTGTTGATTATCTACATAAATCTACAGAAACAAGCTAATTACTATTTCTAAAAGTTAGGTTACTTATTATCTTAAACTTTTGCCGTGTGAAACCAGGTAGCACCTGTACTCTTCCCGACTGGGCATAAGTAGCTCCATCTTTGTTTTTAGCTTCCATGGCCATACTATCAAATAGGTAAGGTTTAAAAATAAAATTGGCAACCCACAGTGTGGGTGAGGGAGTTATGAGAAGGGTACACCCAGGCACTACTGGGGAGCAGACAAGTCTGTAGATTTCACTTGGCAAGCAACTTGGCTGTGTGCAGAAAGAGCCTGAAATGTTCCTACTCTGAAAGCTAGCAAGCAGCCATCTAAGATGCATCAATTGGTCCCTACCACCTGGAGCAAAGGAGCATGAAGAACACCAAAGACACAAGGAAAATATTAGCCCAAGAGACAGAATGGGCCACATAAACCAGAGACTTCATCAGCCTGAGACCAGAAGAACTAGATGGTTCCCGGCTACCACCAATGACCACCCTGACAAGGAACATAACAGAGAGTCCCTGACAGAGGAGAAAAGTGGGATGCAGAACTCAAATTCTAGTAAAAAGATCAGATTTAATGTTTGACTGAGACTGTACAGACCCCAGAAGACATGGCCCCTGGACTTTCTGTTAGCCCAAAACTAAAACCATTCCCGAAGCCAACTCTTCAGACAAAGATCAGACTGGACTATGGGACATAAAATGATACTCATGAAGAGTGTGCCTCTTAGCTCAAGTAGATACATGAGACTAAATGGGCAGCTCCGGAGGTGAGATGAGAAGGCAGAGAGGGTCAGGAGCTGGTTGAATGGACACCAGAAATCCGGGATGGAAAGGAGGACTGTGCTGTCACAGTACAGGGAGAGCAACTAGGGTCACATAACAATGTGTGTATAATTTTTTGTATGAGAAACTAACTTGAATTGTAAACTTTCACTTAAAGCACAAAAAGAATTTTTTTAATTTAAAAAAAATTGTTCCTACTCTAACCTCGCAATTCTAATTGTTGCAAGTTAGCCTAAGGACGTAATCAGATTCCTGCGAAAAGTATATGTGCAATAATGCAAAATGGAAATCAACTTAAATGTTCCTCCAAAAACCCATTGTTAAGTAAAACTGCAACACATCTGGGAGAGGGACGCCATCAAAATGGTGTTAAAGGTGATGGCAAAATTTGGAAACAGATAGTGGTGATGGTTGCAAAATGTGGTGAAGGTAATTAATGTCATTGAATTACACATGTAAAAAAATACTGAACTGGCAAATGCTTTGTTATATATATACTTATCACAATTTAAAAAACGGTGTTTTAGAAGAATTTTTAAAGATTATACAGCTTAGAAAACTGTATGCATAGCAAGAGGCCAATTTTTGTGTTTTTTTTCCCAATTTTGTTGTATACATATAATATTAGCAGAAGTTACTACCAGGTGGTAGAATTATGGATTATTTTCTACCTTTTGTATTTGTTCAATATTTTCCACAATGAAAATATATTTTGTTTATCATAGTTTTATATGTTAAAAGATGAAACCACTGTATACTATACATTCTCCAAATATCAGCCCAGGGAGGCTCAGAAAAAGGAATCTGTGACAGCATCAGCTGGAGGACAGTTAGGAACACGCTCCTTAAAAAAGGGTTGGGGGTCATGTGCTGGGACCCTTCGCCCTGCTCCATGAAGCTGGCCCTCCCCCTCTCCTGTCTTAGGGTGACTTAAGGGCTCCACTGTGAGGCACTCTGCTCACACCTCCATAAAAGCCTCCATTCACTGAGGATTCACTATGCACCAGGACTGTGCCAAGGGCTTGACATTTCTTCGTGCCATAATTTTACCAGATGATTTCCACTTCACAGATGAGGAAACAGAGGCCCCTCAGGGAATGAAGAGGCTTGCCTGATGACACAGTGCACCCCTGGATTAGAATCTACACCTATTTGACCCCAAAACCCGAGATCTCAGCAAACCCTATTTCATTTGAGACTGCAAGTGCTTGGAGGACAGGACCGATTACCTCATCTCTGCTTGTCCCAGCACCCAGGAGATCCTCAAACACTTCTCCCTAGATGACCCAGACCTGGGATTTACCTTGGCCTCTTTCCACTCCCCTGTCTCCAATGCACCCCAAGTCCTGTCCGTCTCACCACCAATCAGCTCTGAAACTGAAGCTTTCCCTGCAGGCACCCTTGTCGAGACCACTATTCTCTCCACCTCAGCCTCCTCACCCCTTTGCCTCCACTCTCACCCACCTCCCGTCCATTCTACATCCAGCAGCCTGACTGCCTTCCTCAAATGTAGCCCTTAGCAAATGGCCCCACTGCCCTGATGTCATCGCCAGCACTGGAACCTGCGCACAAGGCTCTGCTGGGAGACCTGGCCCCCCACCAGCCTCACAGCTCCCTGCCTTCTCTCCTCTTGGCTCCAGCCCTTCTGGATTTCCTTCATGATTTCTCCAGAACACTCTGCTCCTCTCTCCCCTGCCTGGCTAGCTCCCACTTCTTCCTCAAGCCTCCCTCAAGTGGTTTAAGCATCACTTTCCTGGCCCAGGAGCCCTGGTGGTGCAGTGGTTAAGAACTTGGCTCCCAACCAAAAGGTTGGCAGTTCAAATCCACCAGCTGCTCCTTGGAAACCCTATGGGGCAGTTCTACTCTGTCCTATAGGGTCACTATGAGTCGGCATTGACTCGATGGCAACAGGTTTAGGTTGTTTCAGGTTTTCCTGGCCCAGTTTCAATCCTCTCCTCTGGCCCAACAACCCACTCTTCCCCTTTTCTGGCACAGATGGCATGTCCGTGGTAAAGGTCATGATCTTTGCCGTCAGTTAATCCTGGGTTCAAATTCTAGCTCCACTATTTAAGAGCTCTGTGTTCCTGCCCAAATCACTTAATGACTCTTTGCCTCAGTTTATCTCTAAAATGGGGATAAATACCAGTACTTGCCTCATACAGTTTTTGTGAGGACTAAAATAGCTAGTCAAAATACGTTGCTTAGCATGACGCACGTTGCACAGTAATTCAATGAACGTTAGTGGTTATTGTGGTTTAATTTCTGTCTTTCCCAGCTGGTATGCAAGTGCCTTGGGGCAGAGACCATGCCTATATTCCCAGCACCCTGGACAGTGCTTGCTATGCAGGTGGTGTTGAGTAACTATTCACAGTTGAAGAATGAATCCATCCTACCTCGCACTTGATATTCACTTGCAGATTTGTCAGCAACCGCTGGATTTTCTCTGTGAAAATGAGGTCCACAGACAGATTATGGAATTTACTTTCAAACTTGTTAATGACATCATTGGCCTGTAGAGAAAGAACAAAAGTAAAGGAGGGGGCTTAATTTAGATTTTTTTAGACTTTGGAAGTAGAGGTGGGAAGGCTTAATTAGTGGTTGAAAAGGGGGCTTGACCCTCCCGTCTGCATTGAAAAAGGTGATTACCTTGTAGCCCAGTGTCCTGGCTGAGGGCTGGGGCAGGGCTCACCCACCTGGTCCAGGTACTCGCTCTCCATCTTCTCCATGTTGATCATGATTAAACTTTCAACAAACTCTATCCGGGCAGCTTCCTTCTCCAGTCTACTACACAGTGAGTCGATTTCTTCAGCAGAGAAGTTGCCTCCTTCTGAAAACAACCTGAAAATTATTTGGGAGAAATAAAAGTCACCGATCAGACCTGAAACTTCCCACCTGTCCCAAATGCTGGGGATGCCAAGGCTTTAGACCAAAAGTACAAGATCATGGAAAAGTGAATGCAGGCAGCTCAAGTACAGGAGCAGGGATACATAAATGATGTAGCGTTTCCATTTCTGCCACTTTGTCAGATCAGATACCCTGTCAGTCCTACTAAAACAAATACAATGCTGGATAAAATTTAAAATAAAACCAGTTTTCTATGGGCTGCATAAAGAGTCCCCCGATGAGCAAGAGGTCCATTGGAATGTGAGTGCAAAGCTGGCTTTTGCCCTGGAGACTGAGTTTCAGCCTTGATGGCAGCACAGGGAGACAGACAGCATAAAGCTGGAACCTAGAGGACTACACTTCCAGTGTAAGGTGAATTAGACATAAGCCCCACCAGATACCAGAACACTGCTCTTTCTAGATCCGAAGACAAGGAGGGACAGAAATTTCTCCCCCAAGAATTCATAACCACAAACTGTCCTTCATACACATTGCAAACTGAATTGATATTCTCTTGGGTGATCTGAAAAGCTGAGAATTTTAAATGATCCTAGGTAGGTAGTGCCTCCACCTGCCTGGCACAAGCAAATAAAAATTCTCTGTGGAGGAACCCAACGTCAGCCCAAGCCTCAAAGAATCCCACAGATAAAATTCCAAGGAAAACAAGAAGCTCATGGGGGAAAAAAATCACAAAGAAACTAAACACCATGAATGTCAATCAGTAAAACAGAGAGCAGAAACAGACCACAAAGACCTTAGATACGAGAATTATCAGACATAGACTATACAATAACTAAGATGATCACATTTAAAGAAATAAAAGTGAAGCTTAAAAATACGAGTAGGAAGTAAGCAGTTCTCAAAAAGAATCAATATAACTAGAAATGAAATCTGTAATAATTAAAATTGAAAACTCAGTAACGAACTCATTAAGAGGTTAAACACAGTTAAAGAGATAACCTATGAATAGGAAGGACAATCTGAAGAAGATAGCTAGAATGAGGCTAAAATATGAGAGCACCATGCAGCAATATGGAAGACAGAGATGCCTAACATATGTCAAATTATAGTTCTAGTTTTCATTACTTTCCAAATTTTCTACAAAAAGCATATACTATTTTTATAATTAGAAAAATCTCAACAAATGCAAGATTTGCAGATACCAACATAAAAGGTGCTTACCATGAATTGCCGGTGGTGGTGATCAGCATGTTTATTAGGATTCCATTTCTGTACAAAACTAATGTGCTTTTCTTTACGTAATCGTATACATGGGCACATAGAAGACGTATATTTGGAGAGTGCATTTCAATTTTTTAATGTAATTCGGTGTTTGATTATGCTACATTGAGCATAAGAGTTCTGATTTAAAAAATAATACAAGCTTTAAAAAAAAAACGAATCTAGCCTGTCACAAATGTCAAAGACTAAATCCAAGATTCTTTTTAATTTAGGAGTAAGTTAAGGTTACAGGGCAAAAAATAAGGGAGAAACAAGAAACATCCCCATCGAGAACCCTGGAGGTTCGCAGAGGCCCTAGGACAGCGCTGGCTCCCACCTGCAATGCCTGATAAACTCAATGTTGGTGTAGCGGAGCTTGCCCAGACTCTCCTCCAAGTACTGCCGGAAGCTGCGCAGGGACACCTGGATGACGTCGACGTAGCTCAGCAGCTCCCTATGCAGTGTGCTGCTGAGAATGACCAGCCTGCGGGACGCAGAAGGGGCAGGGTAGTAACCTGGGTCTGGGAGGCCCTCCCAGGCTGCTTGAGCTCCACATGCCCTGCCCATCTGGGGGGCCACCAGAACCACTGCCCGGCCCCTCTGGATAGGAAAGGGGACATTAGGTGGAAGTTCAAAGTGCCAGTACGTGCTGGACACATCCTGTTAACTCTCAGCGTGCTGGGTTGGAGGGCACGCCTCTCGCCTCTCAGGCCCCTGCCACCCAAAAATCTTCAGGTCCTACTGAATCTCTGTCCTCCCTCAACGCATGCTCTCTTCAACCCCCGCACCGTGGTGCCTGTGTACCCAGTGCTTTTGGGAAGAGTGCCCTGCCAGCTCCCACTCTACAACCAAGTCCACCCTGACCAGATGCTCCATGTGTACCTGACCGCTGTGGAGGCACCTGCAGTGGCTCCTCACTTGTTGCCTGTCAAATCCCTAAGTGACCTCCCTGATCCCCTTTCTCTCCCCTGAGCATACCCCTACCTGAAGCCTGGCCAGTGCTGCTTCTCTGATGGGAGAATTCTGCTCCCTCCCCGCTTATCTCCATTCCTGCACCCAGTGACCTTTGAGTTCATCTCAAATGCTGCCTCCTGCAGGAAGCTCTTCTAGATTTCCCGATAGAAAAGGTCTTTCACAGCATTGACCTTTCACGGTATGCCATTTGCACCCTTGCACTATGGTTATTTGTATCCTTTTCTCTTCCTGGGATGCTCCCGTACCCAGTGCTACCCCCAGTCTCTGAAAGGCAAAGGTTGTATCGAATTCCCCTTTGTCTCCCCAGAGACCCTGTAGCATGTTTGTGAAAGACAATCATCTCGGAATCTGGGAAGGCTATTGCAGACAGAACCCTGGGGAAACACAGATTTCTCACACAGGAGTTTTACCCTTTTAGTCTTTTGATAAGGTTAACTCAAAAGAGAAGGCTCCTAGGGTGCCTGGAAAGCTGCTCCTTTATCCAATAGAGGGGAGTCCCTGGGTGGTGCAGTGGTTAAGAGCTACGGCTGCTAACCAAAAGGTCGGCATTTTGAATCCACCTCCTTGGAAACCCTATGGGGCAGTTCTACTCTTTCCTATAGGGTGGCTATGAGTCGGAATCAACTTGACAGCAATGGGTTTTCTGGGTGGTGCAAATGGTTAATGTGCTCAGCTGCTAACCAAAAGGGTAGCAATTAGAATCCACCCAGAAGTGTCTTGGAAGAAAGGCCTAGTGATCTTCTTCCCCAAAATCAGCCACTGAAAATCCTATGGAGCACAGTTCTACTCTGTCACACATGGGGTCACCATGAGTTGGAACTGACTCACCGGCAACTAGTTTGGTGTTTTTATCCATCAGGGAGGAACTGCCCACTGGAAAGCAGCAGACTGGCTAGGCTTCTGGAGCCACACTGCCTGATTGAGACTCCCAGGGCCCCTTACTTGTGACTCCTCGAAGCGTTCAAGAAGATGTGCTCCATGTCATAAATCTTGCGGCGAAAGTTTCTGCTCCTCGTGTTTTGCTCTTCTTGGAACTGGCAGAACATCAGCCTCTCCTTCTTCAGCGCCTCGACTACCCCAGCACAGTGACTGTCCAACCGCTCTTGGTGAAGCAAGAGTTCAGCTGAAAGAGGACAGGGGAGCTGGGGCCCTCTCCGAGTCCAGAGTCACCTCAGGACATTCATTTCCTGGGACAGTGACCAGCAGCTGCAAAGCAGGATCTATTCAGGTCAAGTTCCCTTCTGCTTCCCCCACTGCTCTGGCCAAGGCACAGATCCCAGAGAAGCCAATCAGAGCCCTACCCCAGGGTCTCTACTGGGAAGGGGCCTCTGCTGTGACCTTGGAGCTCCCTGCTGGTGCAGAAACCCTGCCTGTGGCAAAGGAGAACAAAGCCAGGGAGATGCAGAGTCCAGGGGGAGCTAGCGGGGAGCAGATGGGAAGGAGGAGTGGTGTTGGGTGAGGCGTGGTCCAAGCTCTGCCAAAAATGAGTGGTGTGAAGATCCCTGGGTGGCACAAATAGTTTGCACTTGGCTGGTAACCAAAATGTTGGAGGTTCAAACCCACCCGTGGCACTGCAGAAGAAACAGGCCTGGAGATCTGCTTCCATAAAGATTACAGCCAAGAAAACCCTGCGGAGCAGTTCTACTCTGTGACACATGGGGTCTCCTAAGTCACAAATCAACAACAAAAATGAGCGGTATGACTCTGACTTTGTTTCTCTAGCTTCAGTTTCCTCATTTGCATTGGGCGCCAGCAAAGGAGAAGCCATGAAAGGAGCTCCCCATTATTAGGGAGCATCTATCTGTGCATGCAGGGTCCTTTTTATATCTCAGCACATTTAATGTGTACGTTGTACAGATGAGGACAATGAAGTTCCAGAAGTCAAGAACTTGCCTAAGAGCTAGTTGGATGGGGGTGGGGGGGAGGGTTGGTGGCATTGGGATTTGAGGCTAGGTTCTTGAATTCCACAGCACTTCCATGGCCGCAGGCAGTAGGGAGGTCAGATGCGGTGACATGAGGGTCTCTGCTAGCTCTAAAGGTCTATGACGAAGCGTCAGGTATGACAGTGAAAACCAACACCAGGCATTGAAGGTTCCACACATCAATGAAGCCCACTGCCTAAGGAAGAAATGGCATTTTTTAAAAAATCACAAATTATAAAGCGAAAATAATGGCTACCATTTGTGGAGGCTGTACCTTCTACCGGGTACTCATGGATTTCTCATGGTATCATTTCAAGGTCGGTTAATTACCACCAGCACCTCTCTCTGGCAGGTGAGAGAGGGGGTCAGAGAGGCTAGGTAATTTTCCCAGAGTCAAACAGCTAGAGAGGTTGAGCCTGACTAATCCCTGAGCTACAGGCTCTCCTGTAGAGCATCCACCACACAGGTGTGTATCCGATGAATCTGTGAGCAGGTCTGGGTTCCACAGAGCTAAACCAGGGAGATATTCTCCATTTCGGCATATGAAAAACAAACAAACTCACTGCAGTCACCTGGGTGGTTCCGACTCATGGCAAACCCATGCGTTAGAGAGTAGAAATGAGCTCCATAGGATTTTCTTGGCTGTAATCTTTACAGAAGCAGATAGCCAGGCCTCTCTTCTATAGCTCCAATAGATGGGTTTGAACCACCAACCTTTAGGATAGCAGTCGAACCACCCAGGGACCTTCAGCATATAATTGCCTCTTCTTTTCAAATGTTCTTGAATGAGGATTCTGAGTACCACCTTTCTTCAGGAGCCTGGGAGTCATGACATGTCACACGCATCTTTCACAGTGTGATAACAACGTGCTAAATGCCACGGGTGCTGCAAACTGGAGCAGCTCGTGAATGTGAAGTCATGAGAGGCACACGATGCAGAAGGGTTTGGGGCAAGGGGGCCTTCCCACGAGGGGTCTCTACCTGCCCGGACATTGTGGATGTCTCTTTCAATACGCTGGGCTCTGGGCTGGTGCAGGTGCAGACGCAGCTCCAGTTCTGACTCCAGCTCCTCAATCTTGGTGGCCACGATGATCCGGGCGTTGATGGCACACTGGTCAAACCATTTCTCAAGGTGCTCAAAAAAGCCAACCCGCAGTCTAGGGGAAAGACCAGCAAGGGTCAGCCCTGACATCAATCAGGAGCAGTGAGGGATTTTTCAACATCAGCACATCTTGAGCCTTTTTTTCCCCAACTACATTGTATTTCATTATGTGGACTGACCATAATTCATGTAATCAAACCCCTACTGGAGGAAGGTGGGTTGTTTTTCTATCTTTTGCTCTTACAAGAAAGGCTGCAATGAATAACCTTGTACATACATCGAGTGTAGAGGTGTTCCTAGAGGGTGAATTTCCTGAATTGGGATTGCTGAATCACAGAGGAAATACATTTGTAATTTTGACAGATGTAACCCAACTGCCTCCTTTGGAAAGAGGGCAGGGGGAAGCCCCATGAACCTGGGAGGGGCACAGACTGTCACTCTCACACTGGACATTGGTAACTGCAAATACTAATTCCTGGACATTTGCTATTTTTTACTGTGCCTCTCAACACCTCCCCACAGTTACTTAAACTTTTGCTTTCCCCAGCTGAAACTAGTCCAATGTTTTGGTACAATATTCCACTTAGTTAATAAAACCCGGGACAAAAGAATGAAAATAAAAGGTTCTTCTACTCACCGCTTCTTAATTTCTGAAAGAAGATTGGACGGAATGATCACATGTTGTAGGAACTTGGCATCGCAAGCGTCCTTGGTGAGCGTGGCTGAGGGGTAGGAACGGGGCCTCCTGCAACTCTCTTTTTCTTCCATGGGTAGGAAGACAAAATATGTGTTCCCACTGGAAGTTGTGAAGGACTCCGTGTCCTCGTTGGAGATCTCCCCCAGACTCTCTTCCTTGGAGTCGGCCTAAGCAGGTAACAAGCCTTTAGACTTGGCATCATTAAATGTATGTTAGGATCCCAACCACACTTTCCTTGACTAGTGACCTGTGGGCCAAATCCTGCCTACAACCCCTCCCCAGGTTGTAGCTGCTGTTGTTGTTTGCTACCATCGAGTCGACCCGACTCATGGTGACCCCATGCACGATGGAACAGAACCTGCACCATCCCCATGATCAGTTGCAGATCAGTCTATTGTGATCCATAGGGTTTTTGTTGGTTGGGTTTCAGTAGAGTGCCAGGCCTTTCTTGGTAGTCCATCTTGGTCTGGAAGCTCTGCTGAAACCTGTTCAGCATCATAGCAGCACATAAGCCTCTGGTGACAGACAGGTGGTAGCTGCATATGAGGCGCATTGGCCAGAAATCAAACCAAGGTCTCTAACATGGAAGACAAGAATTCTACCACTGAACCACCAATGCTCCCCTCCCCCCCTTTCAGGTAGTGCTTTTTAGAAGTAGGAAGTCCTAGGTAAAAAATCTAGATTCTGATTTCTTTTAGGAAATCAGAAGATCTGGCACATCTGAGTCTGCATTCCCACAGGAGATCACTGCCTGGGACTGAGTAATGACTGTCGTCTCCACCACTCCTCATTATCTTATACTTGATCCCCAGGCCCCTTTTCTATTACATGCCTGTGGGCATTTGAGATTGGGATCCCTGCTCAAAAAGATTTCTCATGTGCCAATGCCCCCAAAGCAACAGAAGAAAAAGTATCATTTGCAACTCTATGGTTATGGACTTCAAGTTATTGTTCTGTGAGTTTGTATGTGTTTTGAGGAAAAGAATTATTAATATGAGTCCCTTCCTGCTCTCTAAGGAGAGTTATGTCTGCCAGCAAGGCAATGGCTCTTTTGTGTTACACATCAAAGAACGGGAAGAGAGAAGGAGTGGAAAGACTGGGGTAAAGCAGGGTTCTCTCACCCGAGGAGGCTAAGTTGACTTATACAATTTAGAAAAAAAAAAACAGTTGCCAAATTGGTTCCAACTCATGGTAACCCCATGTGTTTCAGAGTAGAACCCCTCCATAGGGTTTTCAATGGCTGAGATCTTTTGGAAGTAGATTGCCAAGCCTTTCTTTTGAGGTGCCTATGGGTAGATTCAAACCACCAACCTTTCAGTTTTGTGCTACCCAGGGACTCCATTATACAATAAAGATGAGCTGATAAAGGGAGAGGGCTGGAGAGAGATGAGGAAAGGCATAAATATGTCAAGGATGACCCCAGAGTAGGCTGCGGGATGCGACATGAAGAGAGGAAGGGGAATTTTTAGAAAGTATTGCTCTGAGTTAAGAAGTGGATTCCCGTCGACAAAAACAGAAAGGGTGTAAATACCTTTATAATTCTTTATATGTCCCTCCATGGAAGCTGGGCTATGGAGGACCCCAGCTTGTATTAGGGGCACACAGAGAAGAACATAGCAAAACTTCTCAGACCAAACAGCAAATCCCTTGCTGGCCTACCTCGTCCATAGATGCACTCTCATCTTCTTCCTTTTCTTTTTCTTCCTCCTCCTCCTCCTCCTCATTTTCCTCCTCCTCGTTCTCCTCCTCCTCCTCCAGCCCCTCCTCCTCTTCTTCTTGAGCCACATCTTCCTCAGTCAGAAATGGTTTTGAGGAGTTCTCTCTCTGAACCTGCGTGTCCTCTAACCCGTGAAGGGAGCCCTCTCTGGACTCAGCCCTCTCGTCAAACAGAACAGATTTTTCTGGCTGGCTCAGCATCTCTTCATTTACGAAGGACTGGGTTTCTTGATATTTTTCTCTTTCCATTTCTTCCATTTCTTCCATCTCTTCTTCTGGCCTGGGGGAACTTGCCCCTCTACTTACGCTTTCCTCATTTTTGCTTACTTCAGCGGCAGCTCTTTGTTTTCTCCTCAGCTTTCGCATCCTCCCCTGAAAGCGCTTTTCGTAGATTTCTGTTGATAATCAACACCACAGCACAGGGAGAGACAGGTTACTAATGCAACCTGGGTTAGGCTTCCCCAGCCCAGAAACATCCAAGAGCAAGGTCAGCGAGAATCAAACCTGAATTTTGAAAGTGTTACCTGGTTCCCTGAGTCTGAAAAAAACTTCCCCATCCAGGTTCTACAAGGAAAAGAACACAGGACACAGGGTGACCAGCGCTGCCTCTCTCCAGCGGGCCACTTCCAAAGGCTTCCCTTTTTCTCTTAAGTAGAAGGGCCTGTCTCCCTCCTTTGACATCGGATGCAGGCCTTGACCAATTTATTTCAGCATGGTAGTCAGGATGGTCCCAACCCAGGGATGTGTCTTCCTTAAACCCAAACAGACTAGCAAACTTGGTCAGCAAATTGGGCATTAAAGGAATTACACCTCTTTCTGATACGTTTTTGGAAGTGATCTGGGGCAAAGAGCAAGAAATATAATATATAATATATATCTCCATCCTGAGATATTATAATAAAAAATTGTTCAATGTAGTAATATTCAACCTATGATCAAAAAAACCAATTGCTGTTGAGTCAATTCCAACTCATGGAGGCCCCATGCGTTGCAAAGTAGAACTGCACTCCATAGGGTTTTCAAGGCTGTGATCTTTCAAAAGCAGATCACCAAGCCTTTCCTCTGAGGTGCCTCTGGGTGGGTTCAAACCACCAACCTTTCCATTAGTATCACAGGGAGCATTTATAAGCAACAGGAACAGGGAGAGAAGAGGGATTTTCTAAGAGGGACCTGGGTATCCCATGCATATGGGAAACCCGTGGCCAGGTCTAGTGCCAACCACAAGCATATCAGCTCTCTGGCCATGCAAGACTCTGGCTAGTCTACAGGGAAAGAGCCAAACTCTGGACGTTCCAGGTATTCAGGCATTCACCAAGGGGGGGCATTTATTGAGTCTGAATTATGTGCAAGGCTGTGCTGAGGGCAAAAGAAGTGAAACAAAACTAATAAGGCATACCTGCCCTTCAGAAAATGCATTCTAGTTGGATGCTCTGAACTGAATTTGACATCAACCAGCAACATACAAGCACATTCAGAGAGGGGAGAAGTGCTGGTAGGGCAGGATGGGGGTAAAATGAGGGGTCAAGGAGAGTGGCCACTGGAAGTGGACTGGCAGTATGGGTGGGTTGGGGGCATGTGGAGGCACAAGGAAGGGATTCCAGTAGGGGAGCCGCATGAAGAAGGGCTGGCCAGCAGAGGGCACATGCAGGAGGCGGGATGAGCTTGCCAAACCAGAGGGAGTAAAGTTGGGAGAGTGTGGGGGCCTGTATGGTCACTGAAGGACTGTGGGTGGGATTTGGTAAGGGCTGGAGAGTTGGTGAGGGACTTTGAACAGCAGAGTGAGTGGGTCAGAGCTGTATTTTTGGATTATTGGCCATGGTGCATGGGATGAATGAAACTTAAAGTGTCATACAAATAACCCTTGTCATTACAATCCCATTCAAGCCAAGAGCCCTGAATTCTGAGCCCTTCGACCTCCTTTACACTGACAAAGAAATGGTCTTTTTTAGAGGCACGTTCATCTTCTTGCTGCTTGAGGCCTGAACACAGATTCTGACTCATGCAGATGAGAACAAGAAGTTATCTCCTCCCTTTTGCGTCTTGGGAGTAGCCGGGTTTATTCTCCATACCTGTTCAAAGATTTCCCGTACGAAAAAGTGTCGGCTGAGGGTGGAGCTGTAGGAATTGAGCTCTTTCAGTATCATAACTGGGTACTCCATCACTTCTTTTGTCAGGATGCAGTGAAAACTTTCATACCTGCAAGGTAGGTAGTGAGACCACTGTCTAAGGAGGAGGGTGGTTGGCTGTATTGGGGAGACCAAGGGCCAGAAGCTGTGTCACTGACCCCAAAGAGGCAGGGCCAAATTTGGTCTTCCGAGCTGCAGACAGCTGGGGGCCTGTGTTTCTGTTCAACAATAACAATTCCTGGTTTTGTTTTGCTGTTCTTTGGATTATACAAGGAATACATGCTCTTTGAAGAAAATTTGGAAAATACACAAGGGAAAAGTTCTCTGCTTGTTGTTGTTGCTGTTAGCTGATGTCAAGTCGGCCCCCAACTCATGACAGCCCCATGTACAACAGAATGAAATGCTGCCTCGTCCTGCACCATCCCCATGATAAGTTGAAGATCCACAGGATTTTCATTGGCCGATTTTCAGAAGTAGGTCACCAAGCCTTTCTTCCTAGTCTGTCTTAGCCTGGAAGCTCCACTGAAACATGTTCAGCATCATAGCACTATGCAAGCCTCCACTAACGGATGGTCGCTGAACTTGAGATGCATTGGCCAGGAATTGAACCTGGGTCTCCTGTATGCAAGGCAAGAATTCTACCACTGAACCATCACTGCCTCATCTTGTTGTGATAGGAGCTCCCATTTCCTGCCCAGTGTCCTAGCCATCCTGGAGCTTTACCTGTATCATCCTACCAAATCCTCAAAATGCCCAGGCAGTCTTTTATTTTTGTTTTTTCAGGTAAGGCACCAAGGCTCAGGGGTTCCTTAATTACCTAAAGTTATGCTTCTGAATCTAAATGCTGCAATCAGTTTCTGCAAATGGAGCATACAGGATGAGTTGTACAAGGGCACAAAGACCCAAGGAAGTTCACACAGAACTGTGTGTAAAATTGAGAAACTGAAACCAATCTAAAAAATGGTAATCATTTAATCAGAGGATGATTAAATCATTAAGAAGCATCCATATTAAAGAATGTTAAGGAATTACACGGTCATTTAAAAATTGAAATGTATCTACACCTACAGAACAATTTGCATGGTATAATCCAACTTTTATTTAAAGAATACTATATATGTGCAAATATTTGTATGGAGCCCTGGTGGCGCAGCGGTTAAGAGCTTGGCTGCTAATCGAAAGGTTGGCAGTTCGAATCCACCAGCTGCTCCTTGGAAACCCTATGGGGCAGTTCTATTCTGTCGTCTAGAGCTGCTGTGGGTTGGAATCCACTCGATGGCAGCAGGTTTGAGGTTATATATGTATATATATTAATGTGTTTGGGCAGGAATGGGGGAAATTTCTACATGTTTGCATTGGTTGACTTTTGTTTTCTTTAACAGAAGTATGTTTGTTATAAATTTTTAAAGTAGAGGAGAAGCCCATGCTCTTGATCTTCAAATTGCATTGCCTTGAAACCTCTCCATCAACTTTTCAGATCAATGTGAATGACACTTTCTCCCTGAAGCTGCTGCATTGGCTGATAGCAGAGCTGCAAAGGACCACAACGTTCTCCAACATTCGATGCAAACATTTTAAACTCCACCCTGCTGGGCATACCCTTGGGTTACTGGGCAGGCTGCTTATGACCTTGGACATGAATTCCAGGCCATCCTCTTCTGTTTTGGGGGGCCTGGTCTACCTACCTTAATTTCATGTTCTTCAGGAAATCTTTGGCCCTTTCCAGTTGATTCTTCAGTGTTTGCTCATGGTTTTGTTGCCTCAGTTGGTCCAAAAGCTTATCTAGGATGGCTTCCTGGGCCTGGCAGCAGACGCAAAACAAGAAGCAGATGTGACTTGGCGGGGGAGGGGCAGGTCGGCTGCTGGGGCAGGTCGGCCGCCAGAGCAGAAACCGAACTCACAGCATTTTACTGCCTTGCAGAGACCCTGCTGCTCAAACTGAGGTCCAGTCTCCTGGGGCAAGCCCAGGACTTTGTTTTCTACAAAAATGGCATCAGGTCCACCATCATCCCTGCCCTCTCCACTCTTGTTCCCTGGGCCTTCTCTCCCTTCTCCCACCACCCTACACTCTTCTGTCTGGAATGCTCTTCCTTCTCCAGCTCAGATGGGCATCCTCGCGGACATGTCCCTGAACCTACCCTGCCTGCTCAGGACCTGCCACACCTTCTCATGGCACCTGTTCATTCTCATAGTCACACTTGAAATCAGATGCTGGATGGAGGCAATTTGAGGGGGGGCACTGCTGTTCTCCTGGGAGGGAGGGTCACTGTTCAGGGGCAGATGCTCCATAGCCCCCAGTCTGTCTGTCTGTCCCTCACACAGTCTCTTACAGACAGTTTTGGCTCCAGGGACCCATTGCACAGGCTCAGTGAGATTTGTTCTGCTCCCCATCTGGCCTCATGGCCAAGCAGAGCCTCAACAACCCCATCTGCCCAAGTTTCAAAGCTTGAGATTTTACGTTTGGGTCTAGGATCTTTTTTTTTTTTCCCCTCTAATCTCAATACCCTCAATTTTCCCATCTTTAAAAGGGGGAACCCTGGGCTCCATCACTAAACTATAATCTTTCTCTATACCCTTTCATGATGTCAAGAATGATTTCTCTTGTGCAATCTGGATATAAAGGAAGAAAGCAACTCCATGGACTCTCAGAAGTCATGAAATACCCATCAAGTATGCTCGGCTCCCTCTGACTTTCACTTGGCTTCCTGGGGGGTCCTCACTGGAAGGAGGCTGCTAGCCACAGATTTGGGCCTCCTGTTCTGGTGGGTAACCACTGCTTTCTGTCCCCCATGCCCAATCCCTGTGAACCTCCGCTGTGCAGGACAAGACTGACTGACCCAGGCACTCTGGCATTCACCCACTTACTCCTCTGGAGTCTGATGGCCCTTTGGCCATTGTGGGCTAAGGCTGCTACCTGAGGGCAGCCTGCCCTGTTCATCCCCAGACCCCACGGAACCACTGGGCCATTGGTCTGGTCCAGACTATCTGGGGGAAATGGACAGTTTTAACTCTTGGAGTTAGATGCTTAATGGAAATGCTGGTTTTGCCATCCAGGATTTTGTATTTACTGGGAAGAACGCTGCTGTGGGCTCTTATACCTGAAGGAAATAGAAGAATGCCACAGCCACAGGACCCAGGGATGACCCTTCCAGGATGGCTCAGTCTAGACTCTGATGTTACTTTCACTCACGGGAGGCCTTGGAGAGACCCTCCTGGACATGCAGCTGGGCCTCACTGTCATACATGGGGCCTGGGCCATAGGTCAGTCGGGTCCTCATATCCTCTCCTCCCTCACCCCATTCCAGGCCCTCTCCACCCACCAATGCCCTCCGACTATGCCCCTCCAATGTCCTGGACTCCTTTCCTGGAGGCATGTCTACTGCCCACCCTCCCTGCTGGCCAGGAGTTCATAGTGGGAGGGGCAGGTGGGTGTAGCCCTTCTTTTGATGACCACTGTATCCTCAGACCTGGCACATAGCAGGTGCTTGGTAAGTACACGCTGAATGAATGAGTGAATGAATGCTGGTCGAGTCTCTAGGCTGACAGTCTGGGTGTGGATGGCCCTGGGGTGGCAGTGGCTGCACCTGGTTCTCCTGGCTCTGCTTCTGCCGATGCTGCTCCATCCTCTTTTCGAGCTCCAGCTCCTGAACCGACAGCATGCTCCAGTGGGCCTCCCACAGCCGCACGGCCTCCTGGAAGTACCTGAAGAGATTCAGGCTCTGCCAGTCTGTCTGCTTAGCCAGGACCTCAAAGGATTTCTGCCGTGACAGAACCCAGAGAAGGGAGATGAGAGCCCAAGGCCCTGGGCAAGGAGGAGGGTCCTATCCACAGGGGTCCCCTGGCTGGTCAGTGGAGGCCTCCTGTCTCTGAGGATGGGCCATCCTGCCTGTACACTGTCCCTCAAGCTCAACTTCTGGGCCACACCTGTGCCACGACCCTCCCTCCCCAGAGGCATGCCACTGCTGGTCTGCCCCAATGCCACCCCTTGGCCCGCTGACCCTGAAGTCAGATCTCTAGACCTGTCCTACACTGACAGGCAGAAGATGGCATTTGGGGCCTACAAGATGGAAAAATCAACCCTAGACACGCCTGGACACCCAGGCAGGCAACACTTAAATTGACCGGAGCAGCTTTCCTTCTTCGGAGTTCTCAACTTGAGTCTAGGCTAAATCCTCTCTCTGCTGTTAACACCCCCACCCTTTCCCATTTTTTGTTCTTGTTATTGCTGTTGTTTTTTAATATATGTGTCTCATATCCTCATCTGAACCAGGGGTTGGCAACTTTGGCCCTCCATCTGTTTTCGAAGGGCCCCATGAGCTAAGCACAGGTTTTACATTTCTTAATGGTTGAAAAAAATCAAAAGAATAGTATTTTGTGATATGTAAAAATGATATGAAATTCAAAGTTCGGTGTCCATAAATAAACTTTACTGGAACACAGTTGCACCCATTTCACATTGTCTATGGCTACTTCTGTGCAACAGTGGCAGAGGTGAGAAATTACAGAGAAACCGTATGCCCTGCAGATCTAAAATATTTACTACCTGGCCCTTTACGGAAACAATTTGCTGACCTCTACTCTAGATTATGCAGCCCTGGTGGCACAGTGGTTAAGAGCTTGGCTGCTAACCAAAAGGTCAGCAGTTCGAATCCACCAGCCTCTCCCTGGAAACCCTATGGGGCAGTTCTACTCTGTCCTATAGGGTCACTATGAGTCAGAATCAACTTGACGGCAACGAGTGTGGTTGTTGGGTTTTTTGGCTCTAGATTATAAACCTCTTAGGGATGGGGGCTTATTGTTCCTTTGTTGCCCTTCAGCATCTAGATCAGCAAGGGCTGCTGGGAAGTTCTCATGGTCTGGAACTCCCAGTTGGGAGGGCTGCTCCTAGATGAGCTGGTGATGACAGTGGTGAATGGACACACAACTGACATACTGTGTCCGAGGCCCCAGACTAGCCCTCTCCTCACACCCCAGAGACCCAAGGCGCCCACGCCCGCTGCCCTGTTCCCAGCTGGTGGGTCCCCAGCTACGCACGTCCATAAACTCCAGCTCCTCCTCCACCTTGCTCTGCAGCACGCCCACCATCTGGAAGAAGGACGGGCTCACCAAGTTCCCTGCCTCTTCCTCAGTGAAGGCCTTCCAATCCAGCAGCTGATTCTGGAAAAGACGGAGACAGAACCTAGCTGAAGGCGCAAGTGGGCTTGGCCTTCACCTCAGAGTCTGCTCCTCCTCCCAGTCCCCCACCCTCCACCCCATCTCTAGGACCCTCCAGGGAAGCCCTAGCCATGGTGGATCAGCCCATCTTCATGCACTGCGCCCCAATTCCAGGTGCTGTGGGCATGCGTCACCATGTGGTGCCACTGGGTCCCCATGGCGGGGTGCTCAGCAGCCCCAAGTGACAAGCGAGGACACCAAGGCTCAGAGAAGTGAAGTAACTTGCCAGAGTCTGCCCATCTGACTGCAGACCCTATAGGCATAAACAGCCATCCTACGTGGCCTCAGTGTTGCTGCAAGCTGGACATGGGCTCACATTTTCTGCAGCCTTGAATTATGTCAACTAGAAAGCAACCTCTCAATATATCAAAGTAGGCACAAAATTCACAATAATGCAACCTCTTCCAAATTCAAATTTTATCTATAGTTGCATACTTCCAAAGTGGATAAACAGAAATACCAGGCACCCTCAGTCAGTCTTGGTGCACTTTTGGGGGAGTTCAGGCATTCCTTCCTTGTGTGTGACCCACAAAAGGGACCCAAGGAGTCAGCAAAGCTGAGCTCCCTTCTCTCCCTCCAGGTTTTACTTCTGAGGTGACTAAGAGGCTGCATGGCTGCCCTAAGGCCACAGAGCAAATGCACAAAGCTCAGGCAGCTCTGGACCTTTCACAAACTCAGTCTCCTGGACCTTGTAGGGTTCAGTGAGTGCAGGTGCCGGAGGGTGCACGGCTCACTGGCTAGCAGGGCCTGGGGCATGTATCCAAGGTGTGCAGCACTCTTCTCCTTGAGAATTTGGCTCCCCTCAGAGTCTTGGGGGCAGAGGGAAAGCTCCACAGAGGGACAGAGCTGATAGCAGCTTCTCTTGGGGCAGCAGACTGGGCTCTCATTGCTCGGGGCCTTCCACTGCCACCCCTGGGAGTTTAAACCATCTTCAACTCCATTATACCTTTACTGAGTTTTTCATCTAAAGTTTTACCAAGGCAGAGGAGGGGTGGGGGTTGGGGGCAGGAGGGGACATTTTGGCAAAATATCTCCTACTCCAGAAAACAAGTCATTGTCATTGAAGGGGTCTGTAGCTGAGCTCACTGTCTCACCCTGTTACAGAGGCGGGCAGAGTGGAGAGAAAAGCTGGGCTTGACAGGAGTAGCAGCACTATTCATGAAAACAAAAAATTGGAAATAACCCATGATACATCCTCCATTAAATAAATAATGTCAAGTGTGATGAGTGATACAGAAGGCAAGGTCTGGGGTGATCAGAGATCATACAACGTCATCTGTGGGGTCAAGCAGGCAAGGCTTCCTGGAAGAGGTAATGTGGGGCAAAAACATGGAGAGGGTGGAAATAGCTGGGGGGCGGGCAGGGAGGGAAGAACATTCCAGGCAGAGGGAACAGAGCTCCAGAAGGCCCATAGGCCAGTGAGAGCCTGGGGTATGTGAGTAAGCAAAAGTACAGGCTGGAAGGTGAAAGGGTGTGTGTGTGTGTGTGTGAGGGGGGGGATGAGGCTGCAGAGAGGATGGTGATGGAGCCAGGGAGGGGAACGTTGGCGCTCCATCCCCTTAGTTCATTCTCAGGACCCCAGGCGGGGGAGCCCACCTTGCACTTCTGCACCTGGGCCAGGCACTCCTGCCAGGTCTTCTCATACTGCTGGCGGATTCGCATCATGCAGTCCACGTGGTAGATGTCTCCGGGGGAGGAAGGTGTGGAAACAAAACATGTCAGCTCGCTCTTCCAGAAGAGGAGAAATCAGAAAGAGGAGTTGCTCTTTGGCAAAGGGAAGCGGCTTTCCCCCAGCAAAGCACCTCCATCGCTGTACTGATGGAAGCTGAGACCAGTGGTCCCTACTCAGAGCCGGTGCTGGGCTCTCCCCCAAAGTCTCTGACACCCAAAGACAAGGGCCTCAGATGAGCAGCTCGTCTTTATCTTTTCTGAATTCATTTTGGCCCCATTCTAGCCCCAACTCTTAACTCAGTTTCAAGGCTAGTGAAATTTTTGGGGGGAATCCCACCAAGCCATATAATAGGAAATCAGGTGCAAATTAATGTGAGTTCACAGATCATGTCTGTGGTTGATTCCTTAAGATGTGGTTGGACTAGTAGAATACTTGGAAACTTATTTGCTTATTTCTTATCTACTCTCCCTCCTCCCGACTGTTTCCCAGTTGATAATAAACTCAGTGTGACTCTTGGTGTCTAAGATAAGCAAAGCCACAAGCCAGTCAGTGTTCTGAAGTTCAGTGCTCCTAGCAGTTTCTAGAAACTGAAAGACAACACGAAGATTCTGTGGCAGTTGTTCTTCGACAAAGGCTGCGGAGGAGGGGAGGGTGGGCGGTGGTTGGGTGTAGATTTAGGACACTGGGGAAGGGGAGATACACGCTGGACCCAGAGAGGAGAAGTTCTCCAGGTCACCTGCTCCCATCCCAAGGGTCACTTCCTAGGCCAGAGCATCTCCACCTTCCTGAGAGGTCGCTGTAACAGACCCCTGCTGGGTCCTCCTGCATCCACGCCTGCAGCCTTCTGATCCATTCACAACCTCTGACCAAGGTCAGAACCCTCCACTGGGCTCCTAGTGCCCTCAGGATGAAATCAGACTCCTTCACATGGCTGGCAGGCCTGCAAGTTCCGGCTCTCTGCATCTTCCAGCCTCCCCCGCCACCTCCTCTTTTCCTCAAAGGCTCAGCTCTGAGAGCCTTGGCTCACTCTGCCCTCCACACCCCCTTCCCTCCTACCCCAGGATGGACTTGCCCCCTACTTCCTGAGTTCATAACAGAATCTCAAATAAATGGTCACTGACTGGCTCAAGTTACTACAAAGCTACTACTTCAGCAGAGCCCTGGAGAGACCCGGCTGGAATCCTGTAAACATCACTCACCTAGCTGCTTATTCAGGGCGACAAGAGAAGAATACCATTCAGTCAGCCCATCTTGGCTGTAAACGGGGGGCAGAAGCTCACTGGAGAAGGAAGATATGGCAAGTAAGCTACACTTGAATAAAACATGTACTTAAAAAAACGGCAGCATCTTTAAGGAACATAGCTGCAGAGTATTCTCTACTTAAAGTCTGAAGAACAAAGTGACCTCCAGGGGATTTCCTGGTACCAAAAAAAATCTCTTGAAAAGGTCTTTTAATCCTAGTGAGTTCATTACTTAGCAAAAAAAACTGAATTTTTTTAATGGGAAAAAGTAGGCTATTCATACCACTTGACCAAGGATTTCTACTTCTAGGAACCTAATCTGAGATAATTAAAATCCAGATAAAATCTATGCATTAAGATGTTCACTAACAATATTCCTTATAAACACAAAAAATCATAACTTTCATATACAACAGTAGCAAAATGTCTAAATAAACAACATAAAATTATAATCTGAAGTCATTAAAATAATAGTATGGCAGATTGAAAAATGGTCAAAATATCAAGGACTACCCCCATACGGAGGTGGAATCTAATTCTCCATCCACTGAATCTGGACTTGGCCATGTGACTCGCTTTGGCCGATGAAACATTAGCAAATGAGACACCTCAAAGGGCTTGTGCACTGGGGCTTGCCCTGTCTTGCTGCAGGAAACTCTTCTGCCATCTTGTGAATGGGCCTGAGCTAGCCTCCTGGAGGCTGAGACCACGTAGACAGAGGCCGCAGCTGTTCCAGCCGAGACCCCAGACCACAAAAGTATTTAAAAATTATATGCACATATACTTATTGGGACCAGAACAATCTATGGGGAATCTCAGCAAGACTCCCAACCCTTCGGTCATCACCACTCACATGCCTGCAGGTCTATGTGTAAGCAGAAAGTTAGGATCTCTACCAGGTACACAAGGTCCTGGAGTTTCCAGAGGAAGGGGCCGGAACTGGGGGTCAGGATGGGCTATGGGTCGCCCCCTGCTCCCAAACAAGGCAGTTCCCTGGGGTAGTTCCTCTGGCATGATGAGAAGGCTGCTTAAGGCTACCTGAGAAGTCAAGCAGGAATAGGTGTCACCTACAAGGTGTGCTCTGCGAGGACTGTAAAGGCCTCCCAGTACAAACCACAAACCCAAATCTTCCCTCTTGAAGTTCACTGGAATTCTAAGATCAAGCCTGCATGCTCAAGCCTTGTGTTCATGGCACACACTTCTGGACACTAGAATTGTGTCTTGACTTCACCTCTTTACATACTCCCACTGCAAAGGAGCTATTGTTCCCATAAACATGAGTCTTGCCTCTGATTTGCATAGTGTTGGCCAGCCCTCACCCCCAGGCCAGGTCAAATCCCCCAACCAGCTACATCCTCCACCTGCAGACACTGGCATTACATGGTGTATCCCCAGCTGTAGCCAAAGGCATGTGTTTTCCTCCGTGTGTCAGCCCTTTCTCTCCCCTCCATTCAGGCAGGGAGCCAGGTAGCCCCACTTTTTAAGGCCTGTGAGGGGGATGTGGCAGGGCAGAAAGAAGAGCAACCCAGGAGGCTTTCAGGCTTTTGATTCCAATGCCTAAACTCTCAGGAGGGCCTGGAGCACTGATGAGGAGATAAAAGAAGGAGAAGGCATTTGTGGGAGTGGAATGACTGTCCTGGAGAGCAGGGACCAGTGCTGAGGACCTGGGTCTCCCTCCAAGCCATCTAGAAAGGGGCTGGGGGAGGGGGGACAGAGGAGGGCAGTGGCAGCCTGGCTCTTGTATCCTTGCAGCACCATGAGAGAAGTAGTCAGACCCAGGGCCCTGGAGGCAAATGGCTGCTTGGGTCTGAGGGAACTGGGGCTCAGAGCAGCATCCTTGAGACTCCTGAGTCCAACTGTCTGGGGACAGCAGGGAGCCCCCATCTGGGTGGACCAACTGCCAAGGACCAGACCTCACCCCTAGTCCTGGCATTGTGTAAGAGTCCAGAACTTTGCCTCAGTGGAGGGGACCCCAAGAAAGACTGGGTTTTGCCCAGGCTGAAGAATGGGAGCTCAGAGTTAGAATTAAGCTGAGTTATACAAAACCTTGCTTGCTGAAAGTGAAGAGGACTTGAAGTACTTACCGATGAAGATCAAAGACCACAGCCTTCAGTATGGATTATACCTCAACACAAAGAAAACAAAAATCCTCACAACTGGACCAATAAGCAACATCATGA